CTGCTGAACTGCCTTTTATTTATGTATGGCGATACTCCAGACAGTGGTTCCAGCTCCAGGAGTGACATAAATTCATAGATCAGCCCAGTACAGTGTATCATCTTCAACCTGGCAGGAGCCTACCAGAAAGTGATCGAAGCAGAACGCCAACACCAGGCTAGCCTCACACTCAGCTTTTCTGTGGGGGTATCCTGCCCTGATACTGTGGGGAAGGTATGACTGAGAAAGGCTAACTTTTAGAAGTCAAGTAGAAATGGAGTCTCTGTATTCAGCAGATTATGAAGCAATTACAGCTTCTACTTTTTTTAAAGTAGAAGGGATGTTTTCCATGGTTAAGCAATAAATAACTTAATTTATGCATTAACAACAATTCCTAGTGGATCTACGTGGTTGGAAGTGATTCAGAACTAGTCTTGAGGATGTTAATTAAAATCCACGCGAGTAATTCTCAAGTCATTCACAGACTTGCTAGAGAGCGATGGTTTGGGAAAAAAATGCCTAGATGTTGTCATGGTTGAGAGTGATGCTCCTTAAAAGTAATTTCCGTGTATTTCCACACAAGAAACCTAACCAGTTTAGCAGCTTACACCTCTAGCATAACTTCTTGTTTCTGTCTTCTGTCCGGGTATTAACTGTGAAGGAGATGATAAAGTTTGTATTTAACAAGGATGAGGTCAGCACGAGGGGAAGAATGAGTATTGTTATCATTGTTATCAGCTGAGAGCAAGTTGCAGAGGGCTGCCACACTACCTGTGTTTTTCTCTGTATTTTCTTAGGAAAGACTTTTTAAGGATGAAAAGCATAGGGCTTTTCTCAGCCAGACTCATATTTTCAGTGTTCTCTGAACAAAAAGAGAGATAGCGAAATACAAGTATTTTGAGGGAAACAATATGCCGTGAATAATGTTGACTGGAAATGCTACTACATGTTTGGGGTGGCATTGTCTGCCATCGGAAGTAATAAAAATACAGCTGTATATTATCCATTGGGGTTTGGTTTATTCTGGAAGCTAATTTTTAAGAAACAGAGGGCTATTTATTGGTTGTGTCACAGGGATATTTGGACATTCCAGTCTTCAGCATTTTTACATTTCAAGCCATATAAAGGAGAACAAGACATATGGTGCGTCTATCCCAATTCAACAGAATGGGCTCTAACCAGACGCTTTAAATACACTCTCTTCTGTGTTGTTTCTAGCCACAGCAATACTTTTCAAATTATTTATATTCTTTTAAAATTTACTCAGCAAAAGCAGTTTTCATGCTACAGTATTGGATTCAGGTCTCAAAGTGTTGCAAAGTATCCTTCAATATGCTTCAAAGCCAGTTTATTTTTCACAAGGGGAGTGAATGCGAAAGCTGGGAAGACTTTGCTTTCGCAGTGGGAGACCAAGTTTGACACCCACATTTTTCCTTTTCCTTCAGGATGTGTAAAAGGAGTCCCTGGGGGATGTGTGGCAGGTACTTTCACAACAGTGTGCGTTTTATATGCAAGCACATAGGTGTGTTTAAATGTAGAAAACAGCATTCCAATTGGATTTTGTGTCATGAAGAGAGTGGGTATGATTTATCTGAACAGCAGCAAGACTTTCTCTCCCTCCCTCCCCACCTTAGCTGGGCAAATAGCTGCCCGGTTCGCAGCCCTCCAATCACCCGGGCTGCCGAGCCTCCACCCCTCAGCACCAACAGCTCTCACACCACCTACAGCTGGCTTTTAAAGCAAATATTTTAATAAAATCACTTTCAGTCATTACTCTTCCATTTAAGACGGCAGAAGTTCAGAACTGGGTAAGAGGAGCAGAAGTTTGCCCAGCAGAAGTTGCTCTGAATCAGGTTTGTAATGAAGTTTACTGCGGAAAGAAGTAACCTGAAAGCAACATAGCTTATCATAGGAACCTTTGCCTTTAACATATGTGCTTTGTGTAGCAAGAGCTGTGGTATGCAGTATTACATTTGGTTTACATTACAGCATTATTGTGTCTCTGACAAAGTGCAAATTACAGTGTAATATACAGAAGATGCAATTTATGTTTTCCTTCCTAGTCTGACTGGAAGGTGTTTCTGCTTTTGGATGTTAAAGCTCTCCTTTTCCGTTTTATACATATTAGACTTCTGTTACAGGTGCTGCTTTCCAATTTTAAGGCTTTAAGTATTATTTAAATACACTACTTCAAATATTCCAAGACATTAGGAGTTTTGTGAAAGTCTTGGGCACAACATCAACTTTTAGGACACCTGCAGTAAAATCATGTATTGTCTGTACACGCACACAAAAATCATAGACTATATCTAGTTTTGCTTCATCTCTGAATTCTTTTACTTTCATATATTATTGCACTAGATCTAATCAATGCAATACTGCAATTTTGAATAAGGCTAAATGTACTTAAGAGCAAACAAAAATTTTCTCATAAATTCTACAGATGAAAATATGAAATATAAACTTTTACAGGTTTTTTCCCAGGAAAATGAGGCTGAAGGAAGACTCTAGATCTGTATATAATCAGTATATATTTATATTCTCCCATTTTCAATATGTTACAAACTTATTGGAGTATTTTCTCCCTAATTGGTATGCTGTTTAAAATTTTAAACTACTGCATCTAAAATTTGTAGTATATTATAGTATATAATATTAGCTCAACAAAACAGTTCATAAGTAAAATATCTTTAAGTGGCTTTTGCTTCAGGAATCTTTAAACATACATCTCAATAACAATATTAAAACTTTCAGAGGTTTTATATTGCTTTATAACAGTTGCTTTCCATATGAGATTTTAATCTTTTTTATTAGAGCTTTCAACGGAAAATTTTGTAGGAAAAGTTGAATGGCAACTGCAGCAAAACTTTGGGTTTTCCCACCTGTACCTTGGGTTTGATGTGTACTGACTTAAACCACTTATTACACGTAATTAAATTAAAATGTTATTTTAATGGAAGAGTGTGGTGATATATGATATAAGTTACTTTTTTGCTCCAATATCCACCTATTGTTTGTGTTTTGTTTTGGGGTAGGAGGCTGTTAGGTTATTTTTACATGGAAAATACTTTGCAAAAATGGTAGATTTTACATGACTGTGAAGCAGTCAAAGCAATTTTAAAGATTATTACAAACTTTGCAGATGGAGACTTTGTCCCTTGCATTGTGTTTGTAGTTACAAGTTTTCTGACACCAAACTTTTCCTGCTGGAAGAGGGCCATTAAATGTTCCTGATCATCCATCTTGAATGGAAGAGCTGTTATGAATTATAAAGCTGAACTCATTTCTTGGGTTAGCATTCAGATGTGTGGTGGTCAAACAGTAAATTATCTAGTTTACAACTGGCCAGGAAAGACTGAAATTAAGAAGGTTCTATCAGCAGCTACTGTAGAGAAAAAAGCCCAAGACAATAAAGAACAAAAGGGATGGAAGAAGTATCTGTGCTTATTCAGGTACTCTGACAAATACGGTGAATGTCCATTAGACATGAGGAAGCTTTTGGGTTTTTTTCCCCACTGTGTTATAGATCTGTGCAATTCCTTTCCTGTCTAAACTAAGTCCTCCTGTCCTGCCTGTCTCTTTGTTGCATGCGGTTGAAGGGGTAAAACTGTAAACTGCAATGTGGACGGCATTGCGATTCATTCTACGAATGCCTTCAGGGAAGGAGGAAGCTTGAATATGGGCTGAACATTGGTCCTCAAGTCTAAGACAGTTGAACTGGGGCCTCCCTTTTTTGGAGGACTGTTGGAGGTGTATTCTGTGTTATAGAGTAATCTGTAGCTAAAGAAAAACTTAGTCGAAAAGAGACTTCAGCAGTGCAGTGACCGAGCGCATGCAGAGCCAGAGAGCTGCCACCTCAGTTGTACGCAGCAAAAGGAACGTGCCAAGGTCAGTGACAAATGGACTTCACAGGTGTTTGCTTGTGACAAATGTCTCTGTAGACTTCACCAAAGTAGAGCCTAGCACAGGTTTGAGTGCATGGAAGAAGCAACAGGTTGGGTCTGCTCCTCACCTTAATTAGAAATTACTGCACACTGTTGGTGAGTGCAAGGGCATTTTCCTTTTTGGTTTCTTATCACTAATTTCCTATGCTTAAACTCTGTATAAGCTCAGGATTCAATCTTTACTCTGTTTAAACTGCATGAACAACTCAGCCCATCCTGACTGCACTTTCAGGCTACATGCCTAACGCTGTTGTTCAAAGGCAGGCAGGTATCCAAGTCCGCTCTAAGAAATGTAGGACAGGTGCCTCAGAGATGCCTCAAAAGCACTGTGAGCTCTGTCAGCAGCAGAGCATTAAGAGAGCTCACTTCCTTCTTGGCAGATTACGTAATATATTACCAAAAACCCCATTTCCCGAGCTGTCAAGGATGCCTCCCCAGGAAGGCTCAGAGAAGAGCCAGTGCTCACCAGCTGTGCAGGACGTTCAGCAGGCACCA